TGGTTGGTGAGTTATGGGTTATATATATGTTAAAGTAAGACTAAACTAGAGAATAGGTTTAGCTCACCTACTTAACAATGAATCTTCTCCACTTTAGACTTTCAGATTCTTTATTATATGCTTGACATGGTGAGTGCTGAGGATAACTAATTCAATACCAGTGTGATCAAATTGATGATCTTATCAATATTCTGGGACTTCCGTAACCATGGATGAGACAATTCTTATCAATATTCTGGGACTTTTATAAACATGGATGAGATAATGGCATGTCCTAGTACAGTCCTTGTACATATGCTTATAATGAGCGTATCCTAAATTAATCATATATTATGGGCATGGTTCACAATAGCGATATCGGTATCAGTTACAGTCGCGGTGTAACAGATTTGGACAAAATTTGTATAAATTAGTCGAAACGAATTGCATATAGGGTTACGTATCAGACAATTCGGCAAACCATAATTATAGAGTGTGCCCTTTTATAAATAATCCCTGAATTACAAACCATTCTTGAACTAATGATTTATTACCCGAAAAAAAAAAAAAAAGATAAACCCATCACCAAAAAAAAAAATTTATTTTACCTTCCTCATTAAATTTATTATTTTTTAATAAATTATTTTTATTATCTTTTCTCTTATTTAAATGTTAACTATACCATATATATATATATATATATATTAAGTATACCATTTACCTTAATTTTAATGTTAATATCAATTTATCATAAAATGGGGGAAAAATAAACTTGTAACTACCATTTTCTAAAATGATTAATCTATTATTAAAACTTTGCTATTTTTAATAAACTTATTGTACTCGGTTTAGGCTTTTTTACCGTAAAAAAATATATTCTTTTTCATACAATATATTCATGAAAAATTAATAAATTTCTTAAATAAAAAATACCTTCTTTTTTTTTCCTGAATAATACCTTCTTTTTCATGTAATATATTCATGAAAAATTAAAAAATTACTTAAATTGTTTTATATTTTCTACTTAAATATTTTATTTAAACAATTAATTTCAAGAATTAAAGGTAAATTTATGCAAATTTAATGGATAATATGTCATCAAATTAGTATAATTATTTTTCATATTTTTTTAAATAAAAAATCGATTTAGTGTAATTCAATAAGAATGGGCATTATGGTCATTTAATAAAAAATAATCGTGTGCGGATATTTTACAACAAAATGCGATAGTTAAGAGGGTATTGTGCATAAAATATATTTTAAGGGAATTAATTGCAAATTCAGACTTAGTTCAACCTTTATTTTTTTTATTTTTTATTTTTTATTTTTACACTTTAGACATGTCCTTAAATCACATGATTGACTCAACCTAAAAAGGAGTTGTTGGTTTGGACTATTTAGGACAAATTCCTGTCCAGGCATGGTCATATATCTCAGACATAAATTACCATGTCGTAACTCTTTGGACCTGTTTGGCTTATAAAAGTGAAAAAGAAAGAAAAAGATAAAAGAATTAGGGACACTTTGGATATTCTTGGTTTGTAATTTTGATAAATAATTTTTTAAAACGCAAAATGAAAGCTATATAAAAAAATTATGTTTGGTTCAAATTTTTAAAATTTATTTTTTGAAAACTCAGTTATAAAAAGACTTTCAAATAATTATTTTTTAGAATTCTCAAAATAATTTTCAATTCTCTAAATTTTTGAGAAAGCCATTTGTTTCTACATTATATTTTTTTTACTTTTTTGAAAGGTAAATGTCTTTTCTTCAACTTTTCAAAAATAGTTTTCACAAATTCAAAAATTTAAAAATTATTTTTCAAAAATAATAAAAAAAATTTCATTCAAATAAGCGTTTTTTAAATTGAGTTCTTAAAAAATTAGATAATCAAACAAATTTCAATATATGTTTTTTATTTACAATTTATCAAAACTAAAAAACTATTATTAAAAAACTGAACCTGAAAAGACTCTCAAGTCTCGAGAACTTTTAAAAGTATTTGTATGCAAAAATAGAATTTTTGGGTATGCAGCAAAGCCATGTAGTAGCACTGCTAGCCTAGTCACACTTTTCACATGGGTCCCATCTAAAAGCCTACTCATTTCCCGCGCTGCTGCACCTTTTACTTCCCAGTTTCCATTGTCAAAGATTCATTTGAGAATAGATTTGTAAATAACACGTGTAATTCCACAACATATAATATTATAATCTCAATATAAATGTGTATATAAATATATTGATTTTTAAACTCCACTTGATAGGCAAAATGTCAAACTAGGTATGTTTTGGTTTTGGACCTTTTACTGCACGGACTTCCTTGGTTCCCACACTCACGCGGCAAATGGCCAAAAACAAGATCCATTTGATTGGTAAATTATTTGATTCTTCGGATTGGCTCTCCATATGTATCAACCTCATTCCACAAAAATGATATTTAAGTTTCGAACTTACCTGGTGAAGGATATTTGAATTCAAACTCAATACACTAATGCTATATTTGGTGTATATGAATAAAATAGAATGTCAATTTGGACCATTTCTTTTTTTGACATGCAATTTAAAGTGAAAATGATAAAAATTCATTCCACAACTAAACCTTTAGAATGACCATTCTAATTCCAAATAATTTTTAAACTTTCCAAAAAACTTTTATATTCCAAATCCAAAAATAACCATACCTTCCACCACAACCACCTCCGTTTTTCACCACCACCACCACCACTACCACAACATTCCACTGCCACCGACTTTCACCATTGTCCACTACTTTCCACTATCACCACCGTCATCGTCTTTCACCAAGACTACCGCCACCATTTGTCACAACCACCACTACCGCAACCACCACAATTGTCATTGCCTTTCACTGCCTTCTGCCAACGCTATCGCCTTTCACCACTACCACCATCTTCTACCACCGCCACCGCCTTTCACCACCATCGCCCCTACACCACCACCACCATCGCCGCCACCACCATCTTCCATCACCACCATCACCTTCTATCACCTTCCACCTCCGCCACCACCTTCCACCTCCGCCACCACATTCCACTACCACCACCGCCGCCCGCCACCACCTTTCACCACTTCCACCACCACCCCCATCCACCACCACCATCACCATTGCCTTCCACCACCACCACCACCATCACCACTGTTACCTCCATTGCCTTCCACCACCATCATAGTCACACCACTATCTCCTTCCACCACATTACTACCACTGTCTTCCACCAACATCATTGCCACCTTCCACCACCACCATTGTAGCCACTTTCCACCATTGCCACCACTGTCGCCTTCCAACACCATCACTTACACCACTACCGTTTTCTACCATCCACCACCGCCACTGCCATCATTTATTTTTAAAAATTTGTTAGAGAATGTCATTTTTTTAATTTAATTTATTTATTACTAAAAGGAATATTTTGGAGAATTCAATTACAAATTTATTTCATTCTAAATTTTAAATTGGTCCAACCAAACATTAGAATTGTTATTATTATTCCATTCTTACATATTCCATATTTACAATCAAATAATAAAATAAGAATGGTCATTCCATTCCATTCTAATTCTATTCCATTCCCACTTGCATTTAATTTCATTCCTGCACACCAAACGTAGTATAACAGTTTCTTTCAAATAACAAAGATACATCCTATCAACAATAATATTTCAAAGGGTAAGTTACACGAACCTCTCCTATAGTTTGCCATAATTATAGGAACCTCCCTTATAATTTAAAAAATTACTTGAATCTCTCTTAAAAATGAAACTAATTTATACGGACCTCCCCTCTATATGACGGATCGTCAAATGCACTAATGAACTTGTCTAATTTACTAAAATATCCTCACATTGTGGAGCAATAGTTATATTATAAAAGATACTATGGATATTTTAATTAAGTAAGTACATGACATCAACGAAATTCGTCATTAACGTTGACTTTCATAGAAGAGATATTCGTATAAGTTAGTTTCATTTTTAAAAATAATTCGAATAATTTTTCAAATTAAAAGAGAAATTTATGTAATTATCACAAACTAGAAGACAGACAGGTGTAATTTACCCTATTTCAAATGAATGGAATGGTGAGAAGATATTTTTCTTTTGCATGCGCATATCATTCAATATGATAATAAATCCATATTTTTAAGGTTGATTAAAGGCAGAAGAAACACATTATGTCTTTGGAACTTGAATCAATCAAGATGCAAGAAAAGAGTCCACAACATTGGACCCACCAAATATATGAGTGTGCACTAGGTATAACCACATGATTAATTACACACTCTCATATCTTCACTTTTCTTTATGTTTTGTCACCAAAATGGCAACATTGCATTAACTACACATCCCATAACCTGATTTTTCAAAATAAATAACATTAATAAAATTTTGTATGATAAAGAGTCACTGTTGAGACATGGATTCGATTGCAAAAGCAAACAATTGATGTAAAAATAATAGTAGTAGTAAAAATAATATGTTGGTAGTTTGTTTATTTATTTATTAACATGCATGGTAATCCCCAATAATATCAAAAAATAAAAAAAAAGGAAAAAAAACTACTTTAATAAATGAACTGTTTTTTTTTTTTTTTTTGGGACAATCGTGATGTTGGCCTCTTTGTTGGTTGTTTATCATAATAAATATTTTGATACTCATGAAATATTCATAACGTAGTATTTTCGAAGAGTTAGAATTAGGTTTAAGTAAATACATTTTCACTTTTATAATAATATATAATTAATTGATGTCTTTATCTAGACACACTTTTTACATTTTATTTATTTATTTTTGAAAATTGTCATATTCATTTACATATGTTAGTTGGGTTCGTTATTGGCCTTGTCTGCCCTCTAAAAGCGGTAGTTACGCCAACAATCACGAAACCTAAAATGGACGGCTGAGATTTCATCATCTGAAATATACCCTTGGATCACAGACTAAGGTGCTTCTCATGTATAAATACACAGCATATATTCTAAACACCAACATGCTGCTTTTCGTCTCCTCTGCTCTCTCAAACCATCACCCATTTGACCTAAAATATACCATTCTTAAACTCTTTCTCTCTCTAAATGTAATCTTCAAAAAAATAAGAGAAACCCAAGATACCCATAACAGTTTTCATGGAAGGTAAGCTTATTATTTCAAATTGTCTGAATAAATATCCCCTGTTTTTTCCCTAATTTTCTCAATTTTCTTTGTGTCTGACAAATTATCACAGAAACCAAACAAAACCCAGAAACAGAATTGCTAGATTCTATGAAAAACAAGGAAGACAACAACAGTACCGATGACCAGTTATCGCCGAGGAGTGTTTTGGAGATTTCTCTTTCGGGTTCGGACTCCGAACGGAGCAATACCAGCACAATCAGCAGCTGTCGGTCAGTGGTGTCGTCGGAGAAATCGGTATGTGATGGAGGCGATGGGGATGTTTCCGGCGAAAGTAGTAGTAGTAGTGGGTCAGCAGCGTCGTCGGAGAAACTGGCCGGAGGAGTTTCCGGTGGGTTGCATTGGAGGAGGTTGATTGATCATATAAAGAGGAAGTCTGTGAGGCGATTGAAGACTGGTTCCAGGTACGAGCTTTCGAGCAAGAGTTTGAGGAATAAGTTCGGGAGCAATCGGAGTGCTGATGATGAGATTGATTGCGGCGGAGAGATGATGGAGATGATGCCGAAGCCGACTTGGAGGAACTTCAGCTACGATGAGCTCCTGGCTGCTACTGATTATTTCAACTCTGGTAAGAGAACAGTACTTGAATGCTCTGTTTTTAGTTTCTATTTTGTTTGAGTACTCTGTTTTTCACTCTGTTTTTAATTTTGAACGATATTTGTTTTTTAATGTTTTGGGAGAAATGTTTGGTACGGTTTTGTGACAAACAGGGAATTTTTTTTTTTTTTTTTTTTTCCGTTACTAGGTTTCTTTTGGCATGCGTTTTATTTGTTGTATTTTTGTTTTTGAGTTGTTACAATATCAATTTTAGCAACAAAAGCATATTCGGTGTAGTCTTATTTTATTTTACGCAGTACTAAAACACTTCGTAAATAATGGTCTAAAATAAAAATATAAAAAAGTTATTTTTCTTGTTTTGATAACTGTTCATGACCTAAAATCATATTTTGCACATTTTTGTTTCTGACATTTTCACAATAAAAATATTCGTTTGCAAATGTATTTTTGATTTTTTTTTTTTTCCAAAACATTTGTTCACCAAAAATATTATTTCTATTTAGCCAAAAACATAACATTTAAAATAAAACGCATGCCAAATTCGTCCTTAATTAAGTAAGCATATTTTAATAAGAAAAATAATTCTATCTAGTAGAGGTCAACCTATTTGTTCAGCCGAATGTATCAATGCCTTTCATGGCCGAAGTGGGACCCAAACATGGGTTCCATTTCAGGTTCCACTTCAAGCCATGAGCAGCCTTGATCTTTTCGGCTCCTTTCATGGCAACATGGGTTTCATTTCAGATTCTACTTCGACAATGCGCGACCTTAATTTTTTTTGTCTAATAAAAAGACTAGCCTCTTCGGCTAGTATTTCACTTCCTTTTTGGAATCAATTTTTTTCTATTTTTTGAAAACTATTTTTAAAAAATTGAAGGAAATATATGATGAAACCCTTTCAATTCCCTCCTCTCTCTTTTTTTCCATTCCTTTCCCTCCAACTCCCTCAATCTTTGCATAAATTATGTACTTCAAAATCTATTTTCGTGGAGAAATAAAACAAAGAAAGCAATTTGAACAAGTAAAACTCTTCAAGTACCGTAATTACTTTCACTACGCACATTCGATTTTGACTGTGAAGTACGAGAGTCAATGTAATATTGTTTATGGCATGCCCTATAAATGCCATCAACTACTTTTCTTCTTTTTAAAAATATCAACCACAGTGAAGTAGTCAAAGCCGCCATGTACTTCAAGGAGAAAATTTATGACTTTTTTTTCTAACTTTAAAAATAAAAAAATTAAAATTAAAATTAAAATTGATGTACATTACCAGAAATTGACTGTGGGACCGTACAGTTTTGACTTCTTCATGTTGCACCGCAAACACGGGGTACCAAGTAACTTGAAAAAGACTGATGCTCCGTGACAATCGGTGTTTATTTTGGTTGGGGGTTGTTGTGTCCTTTGCAAGTTACACATACAGGATTGTTCTTTTATCATTATTTATTATTCATCAGTGTCAATTCTATGAATTGGAGAAAAATTAACTCAATTTTGGATTAGTTATTGATTCAGTATATGGGTTTCTTTTTCTTTTGTTCGCCAGTTTGATAGCAAGTGTGGAGCATCGGAGGTTGATAATATAGTACATTTTATTAAGCTTTTCTGAATTTTTGAATTTTTTAAAGAGTTTTTGATATTTTTAACAGACCTAATTCTATGAGAGTACATCGTGGTGGTTAATTACTTTGAACTCTCTAGTCTCGTTTTAACCATTTGTGAAATTTCTGTGTTTTGTTGACTGTAACCTAGTTTTGGTCAATCTCGTAAATCTATGCATTTGGAGTTCAAGGTTGATTTTTCTCGAAATTAGCCGTTATTTGGTTTGGGTCACTTTGTCAAAAGTCCAAATCAGATCACATGACTTTAAGGGTGAGTAGTTGCAAAGTTTGAATTTATGGCACCTAATATTGCAGTCCATGTGTTGCTGGTGAACTTTAAGGAATGTCAATCATCAATCTTTGTCATCACAATTTATATGTTACACATGTAATTGAAAATATAAATATTAAAGAAAATATGTAAATTTTTCTAAGCTTTTGTTTGTCTTTTTACCAAGTCACAGCTCTAATTGTGCCTTGTATTTTGATAGAGAAGTTGATTGGGAAAGGAGGGCATGCTGAGGTCTACAGAGGGTGCTTACCAGATGGTCGAGTCGTCGCGGTGAAGAAGATAACGAAGAAAGGCAAGAACGACGAGGACAGAGTTGGCGATTTCTTGTCCGAGCTAGGGATTATCGCGCACATAAACCACCCGAATGCTGCTAAGTTGATCGGATTCAGCGTCGACGGTGGCTTGCACCTTGTCCTCCAGTTCTTGCCCCACGGCAGCCTTGCTTCTGTGCTACATGGTGCCTTACACTTCAGTACCCTATTCCCATTTCTCTTTTTAGCTGTAAAAAACTTTAATGTGCTAACCAAATAGTTCAATCCAGTGATAGGGGCCATCTAGTGTGACATTTAGTCTGACCAAATGTGCCACTTTAATTATAACTATGAATTGAATACTAGGGACCATTTAGTCAACTTTTGGTCTGACTATGAGTGTGCCACTTTAGCTATGTGAGATCAATCAGAGTACTAGGGACCTTGTAGTGTAACATTTGGTCCGACCATGTGTCATGGCATGTTTAAAATCTGTGTAAATAGTGTCCATTTTGCACACTTTTCTCTTAGTGAGGACGGATCCTGACACCATGAGTGTGTCATTTTAGCTATACGTAGCAGTAATTTGATTGGTGAAGAGAGATTTGGTGTTTCAGGTTCAACGGAGAGTCTCGAATGGAACGTAAGATTTAAGGTGGCTCTTGGGGTAGCTGAAGGATTGCAGTATCTGCATTGTGGCTGCCAGAGGCGCATAATCCACAGAGACATCACAGCCTCAAACATATTATTAACTCAAGATTATGAACCTCAGGTTTTACATTTTTGTTTTCATTTTCGTTTATCGACGAAGAAAATAGAATTTCATCCCTTGTTGAAGCCCTAATCCTTGTTTGGAATGAATTTAAAATGTGCAGATATCTGATTTCGGACTAGCAAAGTGGCTTCCAGACAAATGGATTAACCATGTTGTCTCCCCTATTGAGGGCACTTTCGGGTAAAATTATCTTCAATGACTCGGTTTTTGTGTGTGTGTGTCTGTGTTATCAACTTTTGGATTCATGAATCTCACAATTGGATTCAGATATATGGCGCCAGAATATTTCATGCATGGAGTTGTGGATGAGAAGACTGATGTGTTTGCGTTTGGAGTTCTATTACTGGAGCTTATAACAGGGCGTCACGCGGTTGATTCATGCAGACAAAGTCTTGTGATGTGGGTATGGTTTCTTCTAATTTCTACTATAAATCTACTTTGATCTCACCTTAACAGTAAAAGCCTTATAATAATTAACTTGAAAAGACTATACATTTATATAGATTACAAATGGCTTAGTACGTTAAGCTTGTATATATATAGGCAAAACCACTTCTGGAGAAGAATGGTGTGAAAGAAATAGCAGATCCTCGTCTAGGAGATGCTTATGAAATTGGGGAAATGAAGCGCGCCATTTTGACAGCTTCGTCGTGCCTTCATCACTTACCTAGCTCACGTCCGGACATGAACCGGGTAGGTATTACTATCCATAATCTCTCTCTTCTCAATATTGTAGCCACTAACCTGAACTTCTTGGATTGTATGTAGGTTGTGCATCTATTGAAAGGAGAAGATGGAGTAGTGGAAGTGAAGCAAAAGTCCATGGGAGGGAGACCAATCCTTTTGGATGTTTGTGACTTGGAAGAATATACTTGTACAACCTATCTCAATGACCTCAATCGCCATATGCAACTTGTTATGGAGTGATAGGTTAATTTCATGCCTAATAAGGTCCCTTCTATTGCTTATATAAAGAATTCTGGTATTCCCGAACGGTTGGGAGACATCGGGGGTACGGTATTCTCGAAGTATTGTAGAACTTCTGCTAGCTCTGATACTCGTGGAAGTTCAGAACCATATTGTCTTGTGGTGGTGTCCGCTTTGAAGATTGCATTCACCAGATGCTGTTTTATTTTTAGAAGTCAAGTATCAATCAATACTCGGGTTTCTACATGTTTTAATTAGTTCCTCTTTGAATGTCACTTCTATTATGCATAGAAAATGTCAGAGAAGGAACACAGAATGCCCAATTTAATGACAAGTGAATATAGTTGTATCATTTTGCAATAGCTATAAAAGTCCATTTTAATCTCACGTTTCGTCCTTTTTTTCTTTTTTTCGTTTTTTTTTTTTTTTTGTTGCTTCTAAGATATTAATTGTTACACTTTGACTAATGATACTGATATATTAATTGTTACACTTTGACTCCATTAGTTGTACGATATCCTATATTAGCATCTTCTGAAAATTCAAACAAATGAGCACACGCTCATCATATTTACTTTAATAGCGTTCAAACACAAAATATTTTATTTAGAAGTGATGATATTACCTAGGGTTCATACACAAAAAATTTGATTTGGAGAGGGATTAGGGTTTGAACACAAAATTGTGGAGAGGAGTGACATACTCAATTTATATTCAAATCGAATCGAAAACGAAAGATCATTCCATTTAGACTAATCCCCGTCGAAAACAACTTCTCTCACAATTTTTATTTTTTTCATAAATTTTTTGAGTAGAAGTACAGTTATCAAATGGAACAAACAATCTTAATTCGGATCCTTCAGCCCTTTAGAGCTCACAGTATGACCCGACCCACAAACCAAGGGTCCAGATGAAATCAAATGGCTAATCAGAGCATATGAATTTCTTCGTCATCATCGCCTTCATCCTCCCTGTAAACTCACTATAACTCAATTCTAGAGAGAGAAAGAGAGAGAGAGATGGGGACCGATGTCCTCCTACAAGTGGCGATCCTCCTGCTAACCCTAGGCATCTTCTTCGCACTGCACAACTTTCCCAAACAAGCCCTAACCAAACTCCGAACCAAGGGCCGATCCACCACCCAAGCCCACCGCCACTTCTTCCAGGGGGCCCACCTCCTGGCCCGAGCCCGATCCACCCGCAACCGGACCACCTCCCTCAACCTCGCCAGAGACGCCGCCGGCGAGGCCCAAAAGGCGCTGACCCTCGAGCCCAAGGACGCCGCGGCCCACATCCTCAAGGCCCTGGCCCACGATCTGATGGGCCACCGGACCTCCGCCCTCAGATCGCTCGACACCGCCCTGTCTCCGCCGGCCGTGAAGTCGCTTTCGGAGAGGGAGCGAGGAGATGCGCTGTTCAAGAGGGCGGAGCTGCAGGTGGCGGTGAATCGGAGGCGGCGGGTCGACTCGGCGGTGGCGGACCTGGTGGAGGCGGTGAGGCTGAGCTCGGATAACGCGAAGGCGTTCTGCTTGTTGGGTGAGTGTTACGAATTGAAGGGGATGAGAGAGGAGGCGAGGACGGCGTTCGAGGAGGCCATACGGGTCGAACCCGATTTGGTCGCGGCTCGTCAAGGGTTGGACCGCTTGGGTTCGTGAAATACCTTTGCTGTTGCTTGAGTGAGACTTTGTAATTGACTTTAATTAATAGACCACAAAAGTTAATATCTATACATATATATTTTTTTGGGAATGTTAAGTAAATTCGCGATGTACTAACTTTTTATATTTCTCAATGACCATTTAATTATTATTATTATTATTTTTTTACAAACAAATTTTAAACTCAGTAAGAAAATGATGCATTTTCCGAATTTTGGGATTATTTAAAATACGAATGACAATTTTACTCAATTAATGATGTATTTAACATGTCTGTATAAAAAAAAAATTTTAAAAAAGAAAAAGTTCTGTATATATTTAGAACAAAATTACCCCTTTACATTATGCAAATTGACTTCTAAACCATTCTTTTGCAAATTGACTTCTTAAACCATTCTTTTCCAAATTTTCACTCTATTCAATTTCTCCCTCTAAATCACCACCATGGCTACCACCCACCAGTCACCACCACCATCACCACCCCTACCCACCTCCATCCTCTGGCCGCACCACTAGCATCGCCCCTCCTCCTCCCGAACCTCCCTCCCACCACCACTCCCTCTTTGTCGTCTCAAAACTCAACACCATGACTGGTCAAACCGTGAAGTTGAACAAAAGAACTAGAGGAAGACAATTAAGAGAAAGTGAAGTTTGTTGCAGGGTTCTTTAATGAAATAATGAAAAATCATTACATGATCAGGACCAATACGTAAACAAGCGTTCATATTTTATGCTAATTTTATTTTACTTTTTTTGTACGTGTCAATTGATGATTAATATGGATCAATTATTCCGAGATCATATAATAATTTTTTTAACTTTTCAATAGAAAATTTTAGATTAAAAGGCTCGGCAACATCCATATTCACAACTTGGGTTTTTGGTTAGTCTTCTTTTATCTTTCATCTTCATGTCATTAGGAGTTTTAATTGTACTGTGTCTACAAACACACTAAGTAGTCATCTTGTAATCTTCACTATTTGGGAGACCAATATCGTACTCACATTTGTGATTAAAAATACAAAAATTAGCTACAAAAATCAAAATTAAAAAAATAAAATAAAATAAAAGTCTTGTTTGTTTGGCCAGAAAATTAGAAGGAAAAAAATAATAATTTCCTTTGGTCCATTGTGTCTTCTATGCTGTTCTTACTTTAATTCATATAATATATGATCGAAGACGACAAATTTAAGAGAAAATCAGTTACTGATATAATAGAAGCCACCTCCGGTGACGAACAAGATCCCAGAAAGAAGCGAAACCACCGCGACACCATCAAATCCTGGAAATGGAATCGTAAGCATCGTTGATGGAGGTGCTGGTATGCATGACGTGAGTTAGAAGGAATGGATAGGGCTGTAGCCATGAGATTCCTATGCACCTATAATTATAAAAGCAATAGTTGCGATATTGATCACGATTGCATTGCAATGGACAACCATCTCATCGTCATTTAAGTAAATGAAATCGTGAATTTTTTAACACCTCAAGGCTAAAATGTACCAGTATACAATTTTTTACAATATAATTCAATGAAAAATTACTATTTAGTGTTTTTTAGTGAATACAAGAAATGAACGGTTGAAGAATTTATGTCATTGACGTTATTAAAAATGATTAGTAATTATACTTTTTAACAAAATTGACGTTTTTAAAAATGATTAGTAATTATACTTTTTAAGAAAGTGACGTTATGAAAAACTGATATCAATCGGTTAGTAATGTTACGGTTCTTACAAAATTGGCCAATACTCATGTACATATCAGGACTTCTTGGTATATGGGTGAGTATCAGTTTCGGTAAAATTGAAAAAATGTTGCGAATCGGCCTGTACGAAACAAACTAACCGTTCCCGAACCATGATATATAGGGAGAGAATAAAATTAAATTATAAAAGAAAAACTTTTACTTGTTTATCTTTTTTTTTTTACTAGACGCCGGGAATTCCCTGTATGTATATTTTTAAGAATACTATTTGACGTTACCTTTTAAATCCACATTGGGGTGGGTGACTATAGACTTAAGAGATAGGAATCACTTGATCACTTAATATTCTATAAGCATTAGGGTTTGGTTTGGCACAGGAATTTCGGACTCATGGTTAACTAAGAGAGATGATCTCGGTTGGGATGGACTAGCTGCAAAATTTTCAAAAAGAACATTACATGTCCTAAGAAGAATCAGATTAGGATCAATCCTACTCCCAAATTCCTATTCCCCCAGTTACAGAAAGAGATTCGAGCTGACCAGTTTCAGTTAGAGTAGAGGAGTTCAAGCCCGGGCATGGACTAAAAAGGGGGGTGTGTATTTGCTTTACCGTTCAAAAAAATAAAAACAAAAGACTTTTAAGTACTGATACTCGGCTGGGTAGACAAAGACACACCAGAAACCCTAGAAGTTTTTTCCCCTTCAAATTATTGTTACATATAAGACATGAAGAGATGTTCACCCAACTAAGCACTAGTTTATACTGATCAAAAGACAGAAATATAGTAAACTTGCTAAGTTGAATGTTACCTTTTCGAAACCAAACGCTAAAGAAGCACCTGTGTAGGATCCGGCCGATGGTTCACCTAGGGTTCACTGTTCCTGATCAGACCTATAGTACGGTTCTTGTGCCAAAGCATAGCATTTGAGATACAAATGTTGCAAGTATGAACAACCTTAACATATATATGGTCATAGATGTTAATAATTTAGCACAGAATTCCGCAATAATAATTAATTAACAACAAGAGGAGCAACTCCAACAAGAACCAAAATGGGAGTAGATCCTAAACTTGTCAGACTAGAATAATGATGCCCCAAACCCATTCAACATACAACATCCCATTAAGCTATGGAAAAAAAGCTACTTACAAAATTCCAGTTTCTCCCAAGGATAATAAAATTTTAGCATTCAAACAAAGAACCTTGTGTTTGAGCCCTGCTATATGGTTAAACGCTAAACTAATCGAAACTTGGTGGGTCAGATAAAGGTCAGCCTAAAGTGAACACCACAATCTAGGGCTGGTGGTTAACATCAGCAGCTGAAGGGTACTGCTGGCGAAGTTACTTACTAGTCGGTCCTGCTAATAAGACTGGTGAGGCCAAATGTAAAATTCAGCGGGTGATGGCAATAACGGCATTGGAGATACAACAGAGGAGGAGGCAGGGCCAGAGGTATCCGACGAAGTGCCCACATTGTTGGAGTGGAGTTGCTGGAAGAGGTGGTGATGATAAAGCGTTGATGCAGTCTCAAATGGCATGCGATATGGGATAGCAGGAACTGGCTGAACTGCAGCAAAACTGATGCTGCTGCTACTGTTGCTGCTGCATTGGGGTTGCTGCTCGTAGTTTATAGATGGTTTCTGCTCTGCCTCAAGTGAGAGCTTCAAGCGCTTGGCTGCCCCGCCAACCGGAAGCGCACTCTTGGCAATGGCTTCAACATCATATCGGTTCATCTCAAAATTGGTGACTGCATTCAAACCCCTGAACTTTATTGCCGCTATGTCATATGCCTCTGCTGCTTCCTCTTCAGTGGCTGAAAGGATAAATTAGATCTAGTGATTATTAAGTTCAACAAAATGCTCCTCTAAAGAGTTTGCTTCTTCGAATCTAATTAAAGATATTGCACAATATACATTTCGGCCTGGTTATCACTATGAGCATACACGTATCAGATGAGCTCAAACTCCTCTGATCTTGAGAAATTATCATAAATGGATTGGATAAAGTTAGGAGTCTATATATTCCCCATTACTTAATCCTGACAGAAACCAAATCCAATTAAAAGATTTTCACGAGCTTATAGTGCCAAGGCAGCCTGATTATCAACTTGCCATCAAGATGAAAGAGAAGATGAAACAATATATTACCAAGTAAGATGAAAGAGAAGATGAAACAATATATTACCAAATGTCCCAAGGTATAGATCTTTGTTTCCTGCAACACGACCTATCCTTGCCTGCCATCGGCCCTGTTGGTGATGCCTGCAACGTCTCACCATTGGTTAATAAAAATACAACTCTAATATATAAGAAATGGTTTGAAAAAAGATAAGAAAGATACAATACGAATTGTTCGATTGGATTGAAATGTTCATACCTTGTTACACCCCTATAGATAGATGCTCCCCTTGAAAATCCGCTACTTTTCCTGATTTCAGAGATATTACTTCAGACACTGCAGATTATTTGTATAGCAAATCTAATAATTTATAAAATATAGCGGCTAAGCAGGCAGACCTTCTCAGTGATGCAATGAACTCTTGCTTAGTTACATGTTTCATTTCCTCAAGTTCCTTGGAATAATTTGTAACCTATGGTATCAAAACCATCTTGTTTAGTATTAAGCTAAACCTTCGTGTTTACCTAAAATTTCAGGCAGATATTCAACTGAACCACACGAAAAACTAGAAGTGCGTAGTATATTTACAGGGAAGTTGGTGGTGGCAGTGGGACCCCAGTATTTTAGAGCTGCCAAATCATAAGCCCTTGCCGCCTTTTCTTCCTTGTCATACCCACCTGAAAATTTAAACAATTCCATTGTAATTAACATAAAATATAAATTCTTTAAATAAATATAGTCTTGGAATGCAAAAGAGAGATGAGAGATGAGAAAAGCGAACAAGGGAGTCACTTACCCAAGTATACTGTAGAACCGACATTCACATTTGAGTAAACAGCCAATGATCCACAATCCAACATTTCATGCAAAGTCAGGTAAAGAACTTCAGTAACAACTAAAAAGAAAGTAAAAGGTCTATGAAAAAAAAAAATTCACTAAACAAAGTTAATTTGGAATACCAAAAGGCCTAGGTGGTTAATTGATGCTTTAGATTCGACTACCAAACCAAATACTAGATTATCACACTTCACTTTCAATAACATTCTTGGATCCTAATCATGACACATGAAAATCTTAAAATTAAAGTGGCCGCTGACCCGCAATTTTAAGCCGAAAACTTTGGACCACATTCGATATTTGTCCAAGCTACTACAAAGCTGTTCTAGTCAAGATGTAACCTTTTCCCAAACATTCCATTAGATCTTTGTTAAAGTATACTAAAATTTTCCTTTAATAAATACCCAATATAGTATATATATATTTATGTGCAAAATTTTTATTCGCTCTGAAATTCTACCAAACACCTGGTGTGCATTGCATTTAAATTTCAATTGAGTGACTTGGTCAAACCCATTGAGAGCCTCTGGTCCCAGTAAAAAGTAAAAGCAAAAGTAAAAGCCATCTGATAAAACTGCACGGTTTCAGACGCTACTAGCATTCAGACTAGCTGAGAGGTATATATGTAAACCACCTGTGGCAGTGTGTAAAGGTTGTAACCAGAAAATATGGAAAGGGTTCGAATAACTGCAGGACAATTTCACCATTTTTATTTTTCTGGGTGAAGAGTGTAATGGAGTACAAAGAATAAGAGGTAGTACTGTAGAAGAAAACAAACCAAGAACACAAAAACAATAACAAAATGGCGGCCCATCAGATCAAATCAGTGAAAGAAAAAGAAAGAAAGAACACAGAGAAAGTACAACTGCGTAAATTATATATATATATATATTTATATATATGATGCCATCAGTCAATCAATCATCATCAAAACTCTGATTTGAACTGATTTGAAAGAAAGAAATACCCCACGCACCCACCTGAGAAACAAATTAATGTTTTCTAGATTCACAATATCTATCCATTCCGTATAGATTTGTATTCATATAAACATGATGAAAATCAAGAGAGAGAAAAATGTGTGTTTGTGTGTGTTTGTGTGTGTGTGTGTGTGAGAGAGAGAGAGAGAGAGAGAGAGAGAAGGAAACCTTGACGCCCTTTTCTCGCCTGGCCCTCCCTTCTACAGCTGTTATCCCATAGATGCGCTTCGTATCTTCCTGTCCATCTGTGTCTGCATCAACACAACACAAACGACCTTTTTCTTATACAGTAACATAGCTATGAATCAAAAATAATTGAACACATACCCAATATATATATATATATACACACACACACACAATGAAACTTAAAACAAATATAGAGATCATTACCTAGTAACTCCTCTATAAATCGAAGTTCTTTGGCCAAATGTTTCAGTGATCTTCTTACAACTCTCTGTTTCGGCCGAAACAATGGCTTTCTCTTTCTGGGTATTAACGCTTAGTGTCAAACCACCATTAGTACACTGAGGGTAGGCCAACTCGGTCCCTGACTCAGTGGACTGACCCGCAAACTCAACACCATTGAGCTGAGTCCGGGCCACAGAGGCCGAGTCATCCACTTCCGAGCCCGAGTTGGTGGAGAATGCTTGAAACCCAGCTGTGGTCGCAGCTATGGCTTTGAAGTCTTGGTGGTCGCTGAAGTAAGCCGAAACGCTCTGGTCGTAGATGTGAGTCAGGGACGAGTCCTGTGTCTCCGTTTGGCCGTCGGCGTACCGGACCAACTGAGTCGTCGTCGAATCGCCGCCAAAAAAGTCCTCCAGCTTCGGAACTTGAGGATGTTGCATTTGTGATTCAACGAAGCTTGTGAAAATGGATGAATCGCCAATGCTTTGTCCTGTGCCTTCTTTCACTTGATTGTCACTTTCTGTATACACTGCTTGACCCTTAGGGTTTGCCCAATCTGCGAAAGCAAAAACCGAGTCAACTCAGCCACTGAACTCGAGCTTTAAATTAACTCAATTTACAACCCCAGAACAGCTCATGCAGTGGGCTTCGTTTGGTTGCTGAGAAAAAGAGATGAAAGAAAAGAAAAGAAAAGAAAAAAGAATCAAAAAGCCCAAAAATTTCATTTAAACTAGTGCAACTGGTCTTTTGAGTACATATTCACTGTTTGAAAAAATATCTGAAATAGCATAAGTCTCTCTATACGTTTCGTTTTCTTTTTCTTTTTCCTTTTCCTCTTTCTGAGCAACCAAACAGAGATTTGAATCAGAAATATACAGATTCAGATTCGAGTTGGATAAAATGAAAAACAAGTATACCGTGTGCATAGAAGTTATCGACGAAGTAGTAGTGCTGAGAATCATTTGACGAGCCATCGAACGGCACGAGTTTGGTGGTCGACGATGGTAGCATCTCCTGAGACTGCGAGGTCGAACTCAACATCTCCATTGGCGAGAGCGAAAACGAAAGCCAGTTAGTCTCCGGAGCCATCTATTTTCTATATATGTGTGTGTGTGTGTTTGTGTGTGTGTGTGTGTGTGTGTGTGTGAATCAATCTCTCAACCCTCTCACTCAGCTGTAAACAACCAAACAAAAACACAAACACATGGTACACATCACAATTTGATAACAAACAAACAAACAAAATTTAAATCGATTCTTGAAACCGAAATCAAACCCAGTACTTTTTTTTTTTTACTGTACCTCTGATCAGCTAGCGTTACGAAATCACAACCCCATTCTCACAATGAGAGAAGAGTCTTATGTGGATCGATGAACTGGAACTTGAAAAGTGTTCATGCAAGTTCAATAAAAGCTTCGGAAAACAACAAATACGCTTTAATTAGTACCAGAGAGAGAGAGAGATAAGAGTTTGGTGAAGGAGGAATTAGTAGAAGAGGGTCGAAGGAAGGTGTAGAGAGAGAAAGTGAAGGTTTTTGGAGAGAGAGAAAGAGAGAGCGCATTGATGAGGAGCAAGTGTGAGATTACGAATGGGATGATGAGGCGGTTTCATCTGCCATCCGGCGTAAAACCAGAGGGACAGAAAGCAGAGAGAGAAAAAAAGGTGATGAAATATTGCTATATTATAATAATATGTATATACGTGTATACATATGTATATGTGTACATGTAGAGAGAGAAAGTGATGAGCAGAGTTAGTGGACTTTTTGGGGGTGCAGAGGGGAAGAAAAATGGTCTGAAACAAGGCCGCGAAGGATCCGGGCTGGCGGACATGGAGAATTTGTTAGGGGGGTGGCGTTTCTTATTTGACCATATTAGCCTCCCTGTTCAACCTTATTATCACACCCGATTTGTCTCTTCTTCTTACAAATCGAGAAATTCGGGTAATATGACGTGAATCCAATGGGTAGTTGAATTTGGGTCAATGCTCCTAATTGCGTCGCGTCCATGTAAAGATATTCGTTTAATTACGTGAACATATTTATTCCTTTTGTTTTATATTAGATATCCCACGTATAAAGAGTACAACATTTTAAGGAAACATGTAATAATTATATTATCTCTTTTAAAAATTACAAAGTTACCTTTTCAAATCTAAATATATATATAATCAAGTTTGAAATTTTTTAAAATTTTAAAAATATTTTATAAAAAGATGTGAAATATGTTGTTTAAATTTGGTAAATATATAAATATTTTAGAACAATCCAAAAAGGAAAGATGAACAACTATTATGGGACGGAGGGAGTAATAATTATGTGATATTTTACTAAACGCGTAAATACAAACACAATCCATTTAATAATCGTATTATGAACCTTCAACGTTATTTCGACCTATTTATTAAACGAGTTACAAATGTAACCTGTTTAATTACTTATTTATTCAAACAAAATATAAGTTTTAAACCCAAATAGAAATGTGTTTATGACATGCATATAGTTAATCGTGTATAAACATATTGAACTCCTCAACTCAGATACGACATAATTAATTAAACGAGTTAATCGTGTCAATTCATTTACGATTCGAACCTGATTAAGGTTAACCAAAACTCGTTTAACTCGCGTCATATTCGAGTCTTGTTAGCGTGTTATGTCAAACTTTGCCATCCCTACTAATGTCAAACTCTGCTAAATATCATGTCTAGTTTGGTAATTTCACATTCTTTTTCTATTCTTTTATTTATTTTATTTTTTATTTGTTTTTTTTTTAATTTTGAAAATGAAGAGAAGAATTAGGTTATCAAAATTAGCTCCCGAATATATATATATATATTTTTAGTTTATTAATACTACCCGTTACGTTATTAAAGAGAGTCATCACAAATTGTCCGCGTATTTAACAAGGATTTTTGTAATAATTGAAACTATATATATTTGATTCCTTGCCACCAATGACTGTAATTCATACGGACCATGTTGCTATTTCAACGGTGTCCTTAATCGTCTTCTTTTATATATGTGGTAACTATTTTAATCGGTTTTTATTCATTTTATCTCTAATTCATACTTCTTTTAACTATAATGTACTAATTTCAAATTCTATTATTTATTATCTCGTTGCAATACACCTTATCTCGCATTTACACCACTTACTCAAAGTGGGGTGCGCACAATCCGAATCAGTTCAATTCTAAGTTAATTATAACTAGAATTGACTGAACAATTAAAGACCGATTCGATTTGATTTCGAACAACGGTTCTTTTTATTTTTTGAATATATATATAGAGCCAGAGAGAGAAGACAAAGTAACAAACTCACTAACAATAATACAAAAGCAGAATGAAGACACATCAAAATGATAGCATTTGTTATTGAAAGGAAATGGATTCTTGAACAAATATTTGTTTTGTAATGACCCGGATAAATTTTACAGATAAATTTTTTTAAAATTTTACGGATAAATTTTTTTGAAATTTTACACATTAACGGTTCCTTTTTCCGAAATTTTATGGATAAATTTTTTTTCCGTTTAATTTTCCTTTCTGAGTTCTATTTCTCGTCGTTTAGAGTCATCTCGAGTGATCAGAAATGGTTTTTGAGACTTTTGTTTGGATTGACAACTTCCTTTGAGGACCGAGTCATTTCCACATTTTCACTTTTCAGACACTATTCACTTTTTGTCTTTTTCCCTGTTTCGTCATTTTCCCTATTCTGTCTTTTCCCCGTTTGTCACTTTGTTGGCAAAACCTCACTTTTCGTGCTCGAAGTTAGTTTTTGACTTCACGTGTTTTCATTCGAAGTGGTTTTCACGAAATACGTATCTTTACTTTTGTAAGAAAGTACTCTGGTAGCTCACAGTGTTCATAGGGGCATGGATGCACAGTTCTTCAGAATCTTTTTCTTTTCTTAGAGTGTTTTTTGTAAATATCTTTTGAAGATATTTTATTTTAGGAGTTTTTAAGAAAATATTTTTGGAAGATATTTTCGTTCTGGGGCATTAGTGCAGTTTTCACTTTTTGGAGGGGCCATTGTGCATTTAACGAAAGTTATTGCAAAGATACCTCGTTTGGAGCCTGGATCCTCGTACGGGATTCATTTTCACATTTCGTCGAGTCATGTACTCTTAGAATTCCATTCTGGACGTTTTCCCCAGTTTTAAGGATTTCTGACACCAGTTGCCGCCGAACTTGTTTGGGGCATATCTCTTTACTCGGGACTCGGTTTTCGACAATGTTTCTTCCGTTATTCATGTTTTCTCATTTTAAATCTTTTTCATTCATAGAGTTTTGCCATTTGAGTGCGTTTGCTCAAAATTCACTTTTCCAGACCCAGCGGGACCCGTTCGGGGCACTTTTTGAGATTTTCTATAAATAGGGGACTTAAAGAAGAAAAATCAGATTTTTCTCTTCTTCTTCCTCTCTTGGCTGGCAGCCATGGATGCCCATGGAGCTGCCACTTTCTCTCTCCTCCTTTGATCAACTTTTCCTAAGTGAAAAGTCTTCGGCTTTAACGTTTATTGTTTCCCTCGTCGTGCTCTATCTTTCTCCCTTATTAGAACCCATTTCTGACCATTTCTTGAGTTCGGGTTTGAAGTCAAGTTGTGATTTTTATGGGGCTTCCTTCGGATTCTTGTTCACCGTGTTGTCCCCAACAAAACCCTTCGGTATCATCAGATTCGGAGCACTTTTCTTTCGGTGGAAATTTGAGATTTTCATCTTAAATTGAGGTAGGGGGTGTTATAATTTATTTTTTTGTTACATAGCATGCTTGTGATGCTTATACAACTCATTTACATTCTTAGATATCAAATCTAGAATTTTTATTTATTTTTTTTCTTGTATGATTTGATTTTCTCGATAAGTTATAACATGTTTTAAACTTGTGGTATGGTATTATATTACCCCTCGATATGGTCATTAAAATATATTAAATTGAGGACTTTTGAACATGTATTGAAGATTTTATTTAATATTTATCTTAAGTAAATATTTAATTCATGTGACCTTAACTAACTTGAAATCAATATGTGTTAGCATATTATATTAGGCCCTAATATGCTCTTCAACATAGGTGAATTTGAGAGTAATCAGAGATGTTTTGAAATCTAGTAATATTTAATTAATTTGATTAATTAAATTATTCCATGTGCACTATTCACTCCATTGGATTTTTGACTTGATATTCATGATGTGCATGTCATATAGTTTCACATACATTAAATCGAGCATGTTTGATTAGATTTTGAAACCTTTCATTTATTATTTTTCTAGTATTAAAGTTTAATACTCATGGCCGTACCTTGCATGAAATGTAGTTGTATCATGTTTTTAAATCAAGTCTCGACATGTTATATGACATATATTAATTTGAGATCATTTAGATGAATTTCAAAATCTAGAGATTTTAATTAAAAGAATTAATTAAAATCCATTCAATGATTCTATGAGCTTGATTAAGTTTCTAACTAAGTAGTCATGATTTCCTTGACAAGTTTCCTTCACGTGTATCAATTTGAGAATAATCGGATAAGTTTTGAGGCTTACATTTATTTATTTCCTTTGTATAAAATTTAATTCGCACAGTTGTGTCTTGTATGAAATGAACTTGTAACTTGATATTGAACTTGCTCTTGACATGATCCTTGACATGCCTTGTTCGTAGAAAATTAGAATTTGCTATGTAATCTTGATAATTTAATCCTTTAAGTAGATTAAATCTCCCTTTTATGCTTCCATCGATTTAATCATGACCCCTTGTATCTTGGTTTCATTAATGTACCTCATAGACTTGTACAATTGTCTTGGAATGATTTAATTACACGTGTGTTGATTAGTAGGTAATTGAATCATGTATCTTATACTTGTGGTATATTTATTTCAATGGATTTCTTGTGCTATATATCTTGGTTCTAGTCTATATAGATGCACACTGTGATTTCTTAACATTTCACATGCCATCATAGTTGATGAACTTAGGGCATGACTTGTGTGTTCCAAAATCTTTGTGTGTATGAAACGTGGTTAATGCATTTCTTGTATTTTGATACAATATTGACTTGTATAACTTGTTGATTTTGGGATTTGGGATATCAATCAAGAATTGACATGGCTAGGACTTGGTTCCAGTACGGGGGAATGTCCCTCTACAACTATAGTGCGCACTAGGGGAAAGGTACCCATGGGTTAGTAACCCTAAAGTGATCTCAAGAGTACGGTTTTAATCCGGGCGATATCCGAGTTTTCCACATTGGTTGATTTCACTCTTTAAATATTAAGTTGCTATTTCTTGAAGATTTAAACTTGTTGTGTATGTGAAATGCTCCAATCTTGTTTACTTGTATAGATATTATGTCTTATTCTTGATTTCATGTACAACTCTTTTCGCGTTCCATGGAATATTCCATCCTTATTTAATTGCATAGATATTATGCCTTGTTCTTAATTTCGTGTGTTGCACCTATCGTGTTAATTGGAACGCTCCAATCATGTTAATTGCATTGATAATGTAACTCTTGTTAACTTATATCCATGTATACTTCTTGTCATGTTATGTGAAATGCTCCAATCTTGTTTCATTGCATATATATTATGCATTATCCTTGATTTCATGTATTTTTCTTGTCTTGCTAATTGGAGTGTTCTAATCATGTTAATTATATTGATAATGTAATTCTTGTTAACTCATATTCAAGTATCATTCTTGTCGTGTTAATTGGATCATTCTAATCTTGTTAAATTACATTAATAATGTGATTCATGTTCAATTGTAAACTTGTCGTGTTCTTTGGATTATCCCAACCTCGACTCGT